AGGGGGCAACTTTCATTTTAGAATAAGCAGAGCTTGACGGAATTGACCGTTTATCGATTCTCAAGCTGACACTTCTGACCCGGACTAGTGGCCTGAGGGCGCTGTGTGGATATCAACCTCCTCACCGTATCCTCCTTCCCCTAGAAAGCCCGCGAACGGTTTCCCTGAGTGGGCTCCTATACTTTCCGAAGTCTGTCGTACGTTATACCTAGCATCACCGAACGTGGGTTCGTGGCACTCCCCCCCGAATTGGGCCGGGAACCCAATTCCGAAATCTATAGGCTCTGATAACGAACGTTCATTCCTGCCGCGCTGGTCCTCGCAGATTTCCTCTCTCACGAACTCGAAAGCGATATGTGAAATCGAGTCTCCGAGGTTGCGCCATGTTTCTTTTCCGAGCTCGCCGTTTTGATGATCGGTTGTCTAGAAACAATCGCTATTTGTGTAGCGGCTCTAATTCTTCGACGTCTAACGGGTATAGTACTTGAATCGGTCGGGTAAGCGTTTGTCCGCGACCAGTTAGGATTGTGCACGAGCGCCTACGTGGATCAGATCCGGCACCTCCGTGCATTCTGAGGATTCTCACCAGCGGCCAGAACCCGCGGGAGGATTTCTCGTCCTTTAGAATGCGAATCTCACCGACTCTCAATGATCGTTGGTTCACCGGTTTCCTGCTGTGAGCCGATCGTAAATGGGTTAGGTACTCTGTGCGTAATCTCTTCCAGAAATCCGTCAGGATTTGTTGCTGGAAACTCCATCGCTTGGAGAACACAACCGCTCCTATGTCTGCTTTACGCTTCGGCTCGAATGACATTTCCGGAAAAAATGTATTCCCCTCATAACCGTACATCAAATTTGCTGGTGACAGCGCTTTGATCTCGCTCGGATCAATCGTCGCCGGAGTTAATGGTCTCTGGTTGATGATTGACTCCACACCGCACAGAATAACCTCCAGGTCTCTGAGGTAAGGCTTTGAACTCCCGATTACCCGGTAGAGACATCGCTTAGTGGCCCCCACCATTCTCTCCCAAAATCCGCCAACCCATGGTGCTGCTGGGGTTATGAATTTCCACGACATGTGGGATCTCACGATCCAGTTTGCGATATCGCCGTTGGCTATGTGTTGGTAGATCAGCTTGATTTCCCTGTCTGCCCGACGAAACGAAGCTCCGTTATCTGAGAATAAATTCTTCGCCGTTGGTCGTCTGGCGAGGAATTTCTGTAGTGCTCTGAGCACCTCATAGGTTGAGAGATCGTATGTCATCTCTAGTTGCACAGCCCGGGAAACTGCGCATGTGAAAAGGAGGATGTAAGCCTTCGTTTCCGCGCCGAGTTCCGATCTGCAGTGGAGAGGCCCGGCAAAGTCTACTCCGCAAAAGAAGAATGGGGGTGTTTGTTCAATCCTGAAGGAGGGTAGCGGCGGCGTGATTTCTGCTGCCGGCATGGCGGTAAAACGCTTGCATCTCTGACAAGATTTCAACGCGTCACTCGTGAGTTTCCTACCCTTCAGGATGAGGAATCTGCTCCGAATCTTCTGTAGGGTGAGTGCGACTCCTCCCCAATGCCAACATTGGTCAGAGTGGATCGACAGTATTAAGAGTTTGGCCCATCCCGCCTCGCTCGGTAGTATAACCGGGAACTTCTCGTCATCGGTGAGGTGACTAGATCGCTCCAGGCGAGACCTGCAGCGCATCAGACCCCTCGGGTCGAGGAACGGCGCGAATTGTAGCACGTCCGATTTCGGAACACTCAGCCCCGTATCCGAAATAACATGAGCGAAATGTTTTCGCTGGATTCTGATGAGCAATGCTATCTCCGCCGCTTCGTACTCCGAGTAATCCGAGTCCCTTCGAGCCGTCCGCCGGGTTTCTTCGGAGAATTGTTGTTCTGTTTCTCGACGAACAGCAACTCTGTCTCACTCTAAGAGAGAAACTTTTGAGTCTATTAGAGACTGCTTGAGCTCTCACTAGTTTGTGCCATGATGAGAAACGATCGACGCTCCAAAATTCGTCGATAATGTCGTCATTTCGTCTGACCAACAGGCACTGGGATGGTTTCGCCTTCCTTTCCTCGTCGATGTGTTCTAACTGTGGGCCGTTTGGATCTGCTTCCCAATCGATGTCACTCAGCCAAGCTGGTCCGTGAAACCAGAGCTGTTTGATCGGTGGATCAGAGATATCCAGGCCTCTCGAGACGATGTCCGCCGGATTGTCTTCCGACTTTACGTATCGCCAGTCGGAGGCGTCTGACAGCCTGTGGATGTCGCGTATCCGATTCGCTACGAATGCGTTCCAGCGGTCGGGGTCGCTGTGGATCCACGAAACGCAAGCCATGTTGTCACACCAGAAGAATTTTCTGTCCACCCTGAGCTTGATGAACTTCGAAACCTGATCTGCCATTTTTGCCGTCAGGAGTGTACCCATAAGCTCAAGTCGATGGATGGACCATTTGCATTTATTCGGAGCCACTCGAGCTTTAGCCATGAGGAAGCGCGTTTCCGCTGTCCTCTGGTGGATCGTCCTCAGGTAGATCACGCACCCGTAAGCTTCCATGCTTGCATCCGGAAAGCGTGTAGCTCGTAACGATCAGCCGCAAACTGACCCGTAATACCCCTCGGCACACTCGTGAGAGAATTATTTCGCAACAACTCGACGAACTTTTCGTATTCCAGATTGATTTCCTTCGGCAGCGTGTCGTCCCAGTCTACCCCCAGTCGCCAGCGCCTCTGAAACATCGCCTTGGCCCGAACGGTCACTGGAGCCAGGAGTGGTCTCCCAACATTCGCAGGTGGCATGGGCATCCCAACGCCATCGAGCATCGCGCTGTCAGCCCTCGCCGCCTCCTGCCACGCTGCCACGAGCGATGTCCGCGATGTCCTTGGCGATCAGCGGAAGGAAGTACACCTCATGAGCGCTGCCTCGGAGGAATTCTCTGCCCAGCACGGTAGTGTGCCTGCTGAGGACGAACGTCACGTTCAATCAAAATGGACCAAGACCAAGATCGCCGCCGAGTCGGTCCTCTCGACTCTCTGCTCGCGTAAGTCGGAATCGGAGGCAGATGCGATACGCCTCTCACACGCTTCACTCCCGGAATCCGGATGGTGGTTACAGGCGCTGCCTTCGAGTAACATCGGCACATTGCTGACCGACAGGGATTTCATCTTGGCCGCAGGCCTCAGACTCGGTCTGCCTCTCGTGGATGAAGAGTCATGCCCGTGCGGCACGATTCTCGACCGGCGAGGTCTCCACCGTCTCAGCTGCAATTCCTTGGCCTCGGGCAGGCTGGCCCGTCACGGGGCAGTGAATGACCTTCTGTCTCGTGCGCTACAACAGGCCGGAGTCGCCAACTCTAAGGAGCCCCGTAACCTGTCGCCTAACGACCAGCTGCGTGCCGACGGTATAACACATGAGCCATGGTCACGAGGTCGACAGTTGATTTGGGATGTATCCGTCAGAGACGCGTTGGCCCCATGTTATCGAAGGATATCACGCAGCGCCAGAGCAGTCGTGGCTAAGGGCGAGTTTGACAAGAAAGCCAAGTATGAAACACTGCTTGGCTCCCTTTGTCATCGATACAGCTGGTGTTTGGGGCGAAGGGGCTCTAAAACTAGTCAAGGAGCTAGACAGGCGTATCGTCGCAAGAGGAGGGGACAAACGAGCAGCGGCGTTCATACGCCAACGCATCGCAATCGAAGTTCAACGCGGGAACGCGAGGATGATCACAGAAGGAATGCCTCCACGTGGCGCCCTCAGAGAGCTCGCGCTCTTGGGCGGCTGATTCTCCCATCGAAATTGTAATTTATATCATTGAATCTCCCTAATCAAAGGAATGTTATCAGGTGAAAATGCCGGATGGATCGATCGAGTCTGAGGTCACGGCTACCTGCGGTTCTCTCTCTTGGTCGCAATATCTGTCGGCGAAGCACGGCGGCTTCGGAATGTTCAAGATTATTCTCATGTTTCTGTATGTGTGCTGTTTCTGTTGTTTCACGCATATCCGATGGATTGCGCAGAAGCAGAACACAGGGGACAAAGAACATTTCATTCGTCCCTGCGCTTCGGCCAAGTAGCGATGTCCTTGCTGTCTTATCTCGGCGGTCGGCTGGCGTTCCGTGACTGCTCTTGGTGGTTCGCCTTTAAGCTCAGCCGTGAATCCGAAGAGCATTTCGAAAGGAGTCTTGCGCAAAGACTCGCTGACCGTAGTGTTGATCGAGAAAGCCACCTCTGGAAGGAGGTTCCGAAATGTCGATATACCCTCGGAAACCGCAAAATCTAGTCCGACCTTCTCAAACGGCCGTTGGGGTGGAGTCACCGGCTGAAGACAGCCAACTTTCACGCCTCGCGGTTTCGATCTCTGACACACAGCACAATTTTTGACATAGCCCTGGACTTGGTTGTGCGATCTTCCCCCCAAATCGAATCGCTGTTGTACCCGGCCGGCAGTCTTCCGGATACCGGGATGCCTCGCCCTACCATCTTCGTGACAGAGCTTGATGACCTCATCACTCAGCGACCTAGGTATGCAGAGGCGATTGTTCCGATAGACTCTACGGTCATTAAGCCATCGATCAATCGTATCTCGAATCACGATCTCGATTCCAGCAGCTGGGCATGAAACAAGGAGTATCCTTTTTCGTCCTAATCTTATCCGTCTGAGTAAGGACGATGCCCGCAAACAGAGCGCTCGAACTGAACGATCGCAACAACGAAATTCAACAGTGGCTGCGACTCCTTATGAGCGACCCAAGACGATGCGGCAGCGAGAACCTATACTATTTATGGGAAGCGGTTCAAACCAAGGATCAGGCGGCTCAGAACACCTTAAGTCGTGCACTCAGTGAAATCGTCCTCGCCTGTGCAGATCTGGTCGAGTATTAAGAAGTCTCCGAAAGTGTCGCCGAGACGAATTGGCTTCTTGTGTCGACGTTCTTCAAGGAGCAGATAATCGAATACGCTCATCAGCTGAGGATCGCGAGACTCGGGGATTTCTCATTGGGCAGAATGATCGGGGTCGGCGGTTTCGGCGTCATGTACAAAGCAAAGCTCGGCGAATTTCCTTGCGTACTGAAATTCGTACCTCTGAACATCCTCCCGAGTCCCGAACAGGCTCTCGTCGATAAGGAAGTCGCGTGCTTGATAAATCACTCTTGTCTAGTAAGCTATTTCGCGTCGTTCATGAATCGGGACACTTTCATAACCTGTATGGAGTTCATTGATGGGGTGTCGCTCATTCGACTTATCCATAGGGCGCCCCAAGGTCTACCCTTGCCGCTCGTCCGAATCATCATCGGTCAGCTGCGTCTGGGGGTACAGCATCTACATTTCAGAGGTTTCATCCATCGCGATGTCAAACCGGACAACATCATGATCGGGCCAAGATGTCGAATCAAATTAATCGATTTCGACACCTGCAGAGTTTGTTGTGGCAAATACAGCCCGAAGTTCATGCCAACATTTAGGGAAAAAGCGGGAAAGGAGTTCCCGGGTGCTGATTTTGCGGGCATGATACCGTACATGGCGCCGGAAGCTCTCATGAAAACTGGACTGGGTCGCGCAACGGATTGGTGGGCCGTTGGCGTTACGACGTACCATGTGGCTACGAGTCGTTATCCATTCAGAGGATCCACGATCGAAAAGGTCCAACCTCAAGCCGTGATTCCGCAGCACTCGTGGCCAGCTATAAAAGAGAGGTCCAAAGAGCTGAATTGCATGGCCGATTGCATGAATCCCGATCCTCACTATCGCCTGTGCTCGCAACACTACTCGCATTTCCTGACACACGAGCACTTCCGCGGTATGGATTTCCAGTGGCTCGAAAATGAAGCGGACCTAGGGAGCTTCAATCTAATCGACAAAATCAGAGAGATATCGATAAGGAAGCAGCGCAGCCTGTTTGTGCGATTATTGTTCTTAATACATATATGTAAATGCAATTAAGCATCAGGCCGCTGGAATTCCCTCTCTGATTCCGCGCCTCTCGACACTTGAAAGGCTGAGGATGAGGCGAGCATTTTCCTCGTCATTCGTTGGCAGAGGTCGTACTTCCAGTCATCGAGCCGCATATCGAACCTGAGATTGTTTCGAGCCGGCTGAGAGGAGCGGGAAAATTCGCGTATCATCACCCGAATTCCCGGGCGATTACAGCACGTGCGGATACGGAAATTAATGGAGGTCGGCTGAGAAGACGCGCGGATTCCGAAGTTCCCGAGCATCGATTAGCTCACAAACATTCTCGTGCAGAAGCTCGAGGATTTCCAAATGTTTCTTTGGAATAGTAGTGTCACCCTCCACAGCTGACAGAGCGCGCTCTTCCACCTGCTCCCTTCCAGTCTCTGCTCGATCTGTCGGCAAATTGGGGCATGAACATAAACTCGTGTTCGGTCTCGGCGTAGCGGACGAGCGCGCTTCTGCGACGTCGCATCGAGTCGTTCGCAGAGCTCAGAGATTGATCCCTCCACTGATGACTCAGTCAATGCTTAAGCTCACTGCAATGATCGGGATCTAGGAGCGTGATCTTTGTTACGTCTCGTCCTCGATGCTCAGTCAGGATAGCGTTACAGGCAGGAAGGCATTCACCTTTCAAAGACGGAACACTATTTCGGACCCAGGAAATCTGCCAGCTTACGCGGAAACGTCTGTTCACACACAGTCTCATCATTTCTCGCTCTCTCCTTCGCCTGCTCGCCAGTACAGAGCATTCGCATTTTCTTTGCATCGAAACTGTGCTTAGCTATCGTACAACGTATAAATTATTACGTACCACTAGGTATCACCCGAACGGAGAGCCCGATTTTCCACAAACTGCCTGTTAGACCTACGGTACTAAATCTAACGCCTATAAATGGGCCACCTTAGAACGGGACGTCCTGATTAATTTGGATGTGAGCGTAATGCTCCTATCAGAAACCAGATTGATGAACGAAGAGCGTTCCCCTCCAATACAAGGGTACACGTTCCACGGCAGCAACCGGAAAGGTAGCAGCAACAAGAGATCGAACGGGGGCGTCGGAATCCTGACCAGATCAGAACTCGAAATTATTTGGACTGAGAAAGGAAGGGATTGGCTAGCCCAAGCTATGATGATCGGTAACCAAAAATGGGTGATCATCTCGATATACATAGCACATGGACTCATAGAGCAAGACAAAAAGTTTCTGGAGTCTCTCCGTCGACTTATTGAACATATATGTGATAATAACAGCCACATCCTAATCGGAGGCGATACCAACGCCCATCTGGCTCAACTCGATGGTAAATCCAACCCGAGAGGAAAATCACTCGAATCCTTTGCCATCGATCACGGTCTATCAATGGTGAACCTGACGACAAAATGCTCCGGACGATTCACCAGAGGAGACTCTGCAATAGACCTAGTATTAGTTAATGCCAAAGCCCTCATGGCGGTGGACACCATGTTCATCGACGAGGATAGGGAGCTCACGGACATGAGCGACCACAACCTACTCACTGTTGGATGCAATACAACATTCCGCAAACAGGGTGCAAAGACGACAAAGCGAACGCTAGACGCGAATCGGGTGGTCGAGGTCTCCGAGAGACTCCTCGCTGAAGAGGAGAATATCTCATACGACAAGTTTCGCAACACACTACAGGAGAGTATAGACAGGCTGAGTCGAGAGAGAAAAATTCCCTCTCGGCCAATGGTCTACTCCCCCAAATCACTGCACTAGAATCCATACGAGTTCAGAGAAATCGTGAGTGGAGGCGGCTTAGAAGGCTCTGTTACCAACAACGGAAATTGAAAGAGAGCTGAGAGAAGCACAACAAGCGGTGAGAGAGGAAGTTCAAAAAGAACTGGCGGCAAGAGACTGGAAGAAACAGACGGAAATCTTGGCCGCGCCTCGAAGCACGCGCTGCAAGAAATTCTGGCAATACATAAGGTGCTCCCAGACCCACACAAAGCGGAGAGTCCACGCCAGGAATACGACCGGGGAAAAAATCCCAGCCGAACAAATGGAAGAGTACTTAACCGGGATAGCAAAGAAAAAGCTACTCGGAGTAGATATGAGCAGCAACCATGACGAGCCGGTGAGGGTAACCCGACCTACCGGTCTCGTTACTACCGTAGAGGAGGTAGAGACGATCCTTAGTCAGATAAACGAAGGCACGAGCACGGGTACTGACCGGATCCCCGCACGAGTTCTGAAGAAACTCACGGAACTCGGGACTGGGTACATAAGCAATCTCTTCAATCGCATCCTGAGTGGTGGCGAAAATATACCGCCAGACTGGAGGGAGGGAAGAGTGGTCATGCTGGAGAAAGCCAACTCGAAACCGGGAGTACTTGAAAGCTATCGACCAATAACTATCTCATCAATCCTGTATCGGATATTCAAGAAAGTAATCGTGAAAAGGATGCAAACCTGGATGGAGCTGAAAAAAATCCTGGGCGAGATGCAAAACGAATTCCGCACCGGCAGAAGAGGGGACGACAACATATTCATCCTGACCTCAGCCATTGAGCTATCGCGATTAACAAAACAGGACTAATCTGTGTCTTCCTGGACTGCACGGCGGCGTACGACCGTGTAGATAGGTTGATACTATGGGAAAAGCTCCGGACCATTGACATGGAAGCAGGGCTGCTGGATGTCGTACAGAAACTGTATACACACAACAGAGCCCACATATCCTTCAACGAGAACACCTCGAGATGGATAGAAACGAACCAGGGACTCCGACAAGGATGCCCGATGTCGTGTGTCCTGTTTATGCTA